AAATGTACTTAAATGGATCAAAATGCAGTCATATAAAATTTAGTAGAAAACGTAATAACATAAAATCATCTTACAAAATAGATAATAAGGTTCTGATCGAGGTCAATACTATCAGGGACCTGGGCGTATATTTGGACAGTCAATTGCGGTTCGCAGAACATATTGATAAAACCTTAACCAGTGCTTATAAGGCTCTTGGATTTGTTCTGAGGAATTCTAACGAATTTGGGCACCCATCCACAACAATACTTTTGTATAATAGTTTCGTGCGAATCAGGCTTGAATATTGTAGTGTTGTATGGAACCCGACATACCAGGTGCACACTACAAGAATTGAAAAGATACAAGAAAGACTTGTATATCACTTGGCCTTCAGAAATAAAGTTTTGAACTCAATAAGGTCATATTCTGGCAGACTTTCGCATCCCTTGAAGCCCGCCGCAAGGTTTCTGACATAATGTTCATATACAAGTTATTCATTAATGGGATTGACTGTCCAAGTCTCCTGAGCAAATTCTATATTAATGTACCTAGCAGGTTACCTCGCTATCCGGGTTCACTGCTCAAAGCTCCCCGCTGTCGCACAAATCTTGGTAAACGCTCTCCAATAATTAGAATGACTAACAACTTTAATGAAGTTTCAAATAGATCTAATGATATAGACATCTTCAGTAATACCACGGTACCATTATAATACAGTACTCCAATTCATACAAACGGACGAAACGCAAGCTATACCTACGCGCCTCGATCTCGGGGTGCGCTCGGGGCGCAGACAGTCACGGCTGTACCGCAGTGTCGAACGGACTGTGTGTTGTTTTTTTAACAATAACCGCGCGATTTTTTCTCTAAAAATCAGTTAATATGACGAGTAGGAAATATTGTGCTGTTTTTGGTTGTATGAATTCGTCAATAACGCATCCAGACATAAGTTTTTTTAAATTACCTGAAAACTCTGAAAGGTAAGACTATAAAATAATTTTACTTACTAGTAGGTAGGTACATAATGTGTGTCATTTTAATGGATAAGTATTTCCTTTTATCTCACAAAAAAAAAAGGTGTTTGGATTAATAAATAAAGCAAATAGAGTAACGGAAAGTTATTGAGACGAGTGAAATAGGTAGTGTATCAAAATTTATAGGGAGTGAATCAAAAAACAACACGCATTTTTATTGAACACTTTCTATTCAATATACAAAGTATTTCATTTATTTATATAAAAAGGATATTTACAATCACAAATTTAAATAGAAACAGAAAGTAGGCAAATATAATTAAAATGCTGGAGACGGGCAGCCCTAACGCATGTTTACGTACCGCGCGGCTGTAGGCATTTATTTCTATCATGCGGCCGAGTTACACTACTGTATTATAATTGTACCGTGGTAATACTATAGGACATTATAAATTCCTTATCAATAAACAGCTGACATCAATTTAATATAAATTTATTTGATTTAAATTATATATTATCAATGTAACTGTATATAATCTTATATTGTTGACTATTGAATTATTAACCATATTATCAGTAGTTAACTTTTGCAATGTTATTATTGTTTGTATTGACTTAATGAATTTAACAGTTATTTAATTTAATCAATTTTCATTAATTTATTTACTTCTAATTTGTGTAATAGTAATTTCTGATTCAAAATGTTATGTTTGACTCTTAATGCAGGCTGTGATATTCTGTAATTAAGAATACACCAGATCAATAATTTATTATTTTCTGTGATTGCTATGTGATATTCTTGTTGAAGATCCTTAAATAAATAAACTCTAGGATCTTTTCCGAAAGCTCCGACTTACTGCCCTTACGCTGCATTTCACAAAATCTTGTACCTTCTTCCCTGAGGATCCGAACTACATTTTCGAGGTTCTGGTTTAGTGGTTTCGGAAGCGAAAGTACATTAGGTGGCCTGACTCGAGGATTATGGTGTCCTACCCCTCTCTTGGGACTTCACATAACCCTAGGGTATACCAACTAATTTCCCCAAGTTCCACCTCAAGTTGCGCCAGATGTGTCAGCGGGGCAGCCGGGAACTGGAGGCCGTGGCTTATGTGGCGTTACCGATCGCAGGGCGTAGCTTCACGCACCGGTGACACTGCTGCCCGTCACCAGCCTGTTACATTTAGCTACTCCTATTGGGATAGATATACCGTCATCTGTCGGTCGCCAGAGCCTCATTCATCGTTCAGCAGTATGTACCACGTGCAGATGAGGTTGGCTTGAGGCAAAAGATGGTGGTTCGCCCCCTCGCATACAATTGCCCGACCGCATTATTGATATACATACTATATTTGGCGCCAGACAACATAACAACCACTCCTACATCGATATTTACAAACATATAGCGATAGTTTCAATGTTCCCGTAACGATGGAAACTAGTAAATCTTGGTAAAGAGTCGTCTGCCAGGACACAGCGTTAACCAACCAGCAGTTTAAATTACTCTTTGGAGTACGTTAACACAACACTGTACAAGTTTAAATTTCGAAATTACGTCAAACGTAATTTCAAGGAATTATTTTTAGGGTTTTTTACTATTTGATTTTTAGGTGTTTTGTTTCTTTTCATAATTATGCTCGGCTATCGTTCTATGACTATCGGATTTATGTATGTATACACTCCAAAATCTATTTTACTTTAGCTGACAGGTAGGCATAACTGGGCCATAACCTGTAGTTATTAAATAAAAAAACTGTATTTTAGAATAATTGCCGTTTTATTATATCCAACAGACCATTACAGAGATTTTGTTCATAGAGCTCCTAGAAGCCCGTGAACACCCCATGAGGCTTCTGCGCTTCTGGAAGGAGCTCGGTTGGCTCACCTAGCTAACCAATCCTCAACGCATAAAGGACCACTCTTGAGTCTAAATGCGGAAACCGAAGCCCACAACCACAACCACTACCGATGACACATGTTTGGTTTATAGCCATGAAAACACAATTTTGAATTACTGTAAAGGGTCATATGTACGAATGTATGCATAACTATATGCAACACTCTCGATGCTTAACTTTGGAGCGAGTCACCTTCACCAGAGAATTTTGTATTAAAATACCTACATTTGTATTATTATGTATCCTTAAACAAGAACTTCTGCCGACAAACTGTTTTTACAGATTGGCAGACTTTAAGCATGAAAAATATGTATTATAAATCTATACTAATATTATAAAGCTGAAGAGTTTGTTTGTTTGTTTGTTTGTTTGAACGCACTAATCTCAGGAACTACAGGTCCGATTTGAAAAATTCTTTCAGTGTTAGATAGCCCATTTATTGAGGAAGGCTATAGGCTATATATCATCACGCTAAGACCAATACGAGCGGAGCAACCAATGAAGAATGTTTCAAAAACGGAGAAAATTTATTACTATTGAGAGACGCAGACGAAGTTGCGCGGGTCAGCTAGTGTTTAATAAAGAGAATAAAAAGATAAATAATTTACATCACAAGTTCACGTAAATTATGAATATGTCAGTATGGGGTTGTGCACTAGCAATCAAACTGTTCAGCCAACTGATTCTAGAGAAGATCATAAACTTTTCTTTTTTTCATTATTTAACATTAATGAACATTATTTAACAAATAATTTATTTATTAGGATATCCTATGAAAGATATACACAAGTAAAAAAAATAACAATTGACTGAAGGGGTATAAAGTCCGTGTACTCCTTCACTTACAGGAGGCCACGGCAAGCACATTAAACTTGTAACAATACATTAAAGAATTGACTAATTAATTAATTAAGAATTGATTCAAATCGGTGGTGAAAATATGACATGAGAAGTAAACTCTTTAGCGAACAAAAGAAATAGAAGCAGAAATTGAGCAAAAGAAATAGCTTCCTACAAAAGTAGCCATGAAAAGTTAAGTCCTCATAAGTTAAGAAAAACGAAGTCACATGATAGTAGTTAGAATTTGAGCCTTTTTAATCAAATTTACTCTCGCAGTCTAGGTTTTGTTTAACTATTTAGGCACTACGAACAGCAGCCCTAATTTACAAACTGTCACTATACACTACGACACAAGATTCACTATCTGGGCAATGTCAATGGTTATTATATTGAAATTGGTTGTGGGCCTTCATTTTTAGGTTGTGGGCCTCAATTTAGACTTGAGAGTGGTCCTTTATGCAATTGCTTTTTGAAAGCCATTACAAGTACACATATGAGTATAAATGTAATGGGTAGGTTGATAGTAGTAGTAGTGTAGTATATTTTTTCAAATTAATTAAATAAATATACCCTCCAAAAATAAAAAAAGATATTTTCATATTAGTTCATCAATGAATCTGAAGTAAAAAAGACACAAACAATACACATTCTCCTTTAAAATCCATTAAAACCTTTGGAAAAGAATCTAGTAGATGTTCTTTGCAATTGTAGAAAATAAAAGCAGTGCTTAAGTAGCTAATGATATTTCCCTATTACCTGCAGAACTTCGATAATTAGATATTTACTTAGATATTTTCATACTATTAAATACTATCATAAAGTATTTACATTGACAGCTATCCTGGCTACTAACAGAGAAATATAAATTCGCCATGTTATATATTAGGTCACCTAATTCCACTATACTGTTTTATATAAACACCCTCAACAAGATCATTATCTATCTAATACCTTTAAATGAGCACTTCTTGTATATTTGTATGTAAATATAATCCGAATCTCGAAAACGTCTACAACGATCTTCGTGAAATTTAGTATGCAGGGGGTTTCGGGGACGATTTTTAGATCTAGCTAGGCTAAAAAAACTGAGCGAAGCTCGGTCATTCAGGTAGGTACTAATAATAAACAATACTTAAACATCGCCAGAGGATTATATGTAAAAACCCAAATGATTGTTAAATCATTATAGGGCGATACAATACTTGTATTGACAAGCTTAAATATGAACAATTTCAATCGTATGTATAAAAACTCATTTTGTAATCATAAGTACACAAGCAATTTATTGCAATATGGTGCAATCACTTACCTGGTTTGGGCATATTTCACTCTGATTTTCCTTTGTTAGATATTAAAAACGACCACGAAATTAAAGAAACACTTAAATTTTTCAATTATGTTCTGAAATGATAATATAATTTACAGACTTCAAAAACAGTAGGTAGTTATTTATTTAGCAAATAGTTAAGCAATTTCATCAGCAATCAACACCAACGACAATTTATATACTCCGTCAGTGCCCGGTGGTAGTTTATTGATCTTTATTTATTCCTGGAAACACCCGTTCAGAGTGCATTTTCGAACTGTTGCGTTTGTGCCATAGAGTATATGAAACATATTTTCATGGAATGGATATTATATTTTGTGATAAATCGCAGCCTTTTCGTTAAGAACTGTCAGATAAACAGTCAGAAATAGAGTTTATATTTATTTTAAATATATGAAAAAAGGTTCCATTACTATACAAGCCTCAAAATATTTCCCGTCACAAGATCCAAACCGTCACTGATTAAGGTATTTTACTCTGTGTGTGAAAAAATCTAAACATGTATTATTAAAATAGATGGAAAAAGCAATCGAAAAGTATTAGTTTCAGTTCACAAAGTAACGAAATAAATTTTAAAATATTATACAATTTAAAGTTATCAGTTTTTGTATCTATTTCTTACATCTAAAAATTATTCGTATGAGCTGTCTACCGACCACCATTATTGCTTCGTACCTGCACTATTTTCATTACCAACTTAATTTTTAATAATATAATACGTGATAGGCAACCGTCTATCACGTATTATATTTAAAGGAAGACAACATAAAACCTACAATAAACTCAGTGGTGGTCAGTAATATTTTTTTGCAAATCCCGAATTTATTCTACTGAGTTACGAAAGGTTAAAACATCAATATTAAAAAAGTTATTTATGAGATCTTTCTTAAAAGTAAAAACTAGTATTTTAGAACATAGTTAGAGATCCCTAGGAACTTGAATCCACAATTTGTCTGGTGTTTATACACTAGTCTTCGAGCATCCAGAAACAGCCCACTACCTACAAGTAGGCCAAAAACTCATTTTTAAATGAAAAACAATTATCAATAACCTATGTTACAAAGTATCAGTCCACTCTTATACACATATACTTATATACTTATACACTTATACACAGCCAACTGACGTCATGACCACAGAGCAATATCACGGTACAATTATAATACAGTACTCCAACTTCATACAAACGGACGAAACGCGAGCTATACCTACGCGCCTCGATCTCGGGGTGCGCTCGGGGCGCAGACAGTCACGGCTGTACCGCAGTGTCGAACGGACGGTGTGTTATTTTTTTAACAATAACCGCGCGATTTTTTCTCTAAAAATCAGTTAATATGACGAGTAGGAAATATTGTGCTGTTTTTGGTTGTATGAATTCGTCAATAACGCATCCAGACATAAGTTTTTTTAAATTACCTGAAAACTCTGAAAGGTAAGACTATAAAATAATTTTACTTACTAGTAGGTAGGTACATAATGTGTGTCTTTTTAATGGATAAGTATTTCCTTTTATCTCACCAAAAAAAAGGTGTTTGGATTAATAAATAAAGCGAATAGAGTAACGGAAAGATATTGAGACGAGTGAAATAGGTAGTTATATGCGGTTCTGAATTAATCATGATAGGGTAGGTACCTACCTACTTACGCTTGTGTTAAAACTTCGGTGCATGTGTGTTTTGTTACTTTAAATAATTCAAAGTAAAGACGAGGTATTTTATTATTAATAATATTTGTTTATTATCTGTGTATATGAATAATACTAGAATTTTTTTTTTACCGTCTGTGTGTCATTAGATAGGTTTCGAAATTCTCAAAACCTAACAAAAAATACCTGACACCACGCAGATTTTTTTCTTTAAAAAAAAAAATATGCAATAGCTTTACCGCGGCAGTCTCCGAGAGTGCCACATGTATTTCTTTTTTCAGACGTCTTCAATGGTTGCAACTGATCCGGCGAGATGATTTGGAAAACAAGCCTAACTTTAGTTCCTACCAAGTTTGTGAAAACATTTTAATTTGGAGGATGTATTACATTCATCAAATAGAAAACTTTAAAAAAAGAATGCCCTACCATTGTTGATGCTGCCAAGCTTAGCTAGTACTGATCCAGGAGTCTCTCTAAAAGAAGATAAACCAACCCAAACTGCTCCGTTGGTAGGAAATGAAAATAGTACACAGACTGAAAATGCAACAAATGAAATCTTTGCTCAAACCTCAACGAGTCTCTCTAGCAACACTCCAAGAAAAAGAAAATTGAAACTTGAACAGCCCTAACGCATGTTTACGTACCGCGCGGCTGTAGGCATTTATTTCTATCATGCGGCCGAGTTACACTACTGTATTATAATAGTACCGTGGCAATATGGAGTCTACTGTGTGTAAGTTTTTGTTAAGTTAAGCACGTTATTAGAAAATTTAGAATGTAACTGCATTTTAGGATAATTTCACGATAGAATAAAACTTTTGTGTTTTATATGGTACACAGGTACACTGGTACTATAGAGAATAATTAAGACACTAAAAAAAAATGGTGTACTAACCACTTTTCACAAAAAAAAAAACACGTATTTATTATTGTTATAAATTCAACAGCAACGGAATGCGCGCCAACGCGCTGTCAGCGCCGTTCTGCCTAGCCACAGAAGCTTGGGTAGGTAGGGAGGGAGGCCGCGTCACCTACCGACTGACGCAGGTACTCACTGGGCATGGCTGCTTCGGTGAGTACCTGAATCGGATTGCAAGCGAGGAGACTGCACAATGCCAGCACTGCGCTGACGACTGGGATTCCGCCCAGCACACGCTAGAAGACTGCCCCCAGGGCGTCTGAACGCGAAGTCCTGGTCAGCAGTTATTGCTGCCATGCTGGCGGGAGAGGAGGGCTGGGACGCAGTGGTCCTTTTCTGTAAAGCTGTAATGCTCCAGAAAGAAACCGCTGATCGGGAGAGGGAGGGGACCACTGGTGTCAGATCAACTGATGCGGTAGGCGATAGAATGGCGGCCTGGTCGCAACAATGCCATCGGGCCGCAACATATTATAAGGATTGGGCCGATAGGCGGGAGAAGCTCCCAGATTACGATTTCGTGATCTTTTCAGAATATATCCAAACCTAACATTAAAGTAAATATTAGTAAAAATGAAAGTAAATATAAGTATTAAAGCCAACTTTAATACTTATATTAACTTTCATTTTTACTAATGTTTTATTGCTTTTGAAATACAGATATTCAATATAAACACCAATAGTAGCAATAACTGATTTTATCAACCGATGTTATAGCAACTTTTAGTGGCTAAGTTTTAAATTACTTAAATTCAAATGAATTCTTTGAAGTTCAATTATCAGTGCTGTCAACCTCGCAGGTTATCCACTAAAACTGGTGGATTTGACCCCTCTGTTAGTGGCAAAATATTACTTTTAGTGGCTAGTGAATTTTTCTAGTAGTTTGGTATGTTGAAAGATGAACTGTGAGAACTGTTTGTGTACGCAAACCTCAAGAACCATTGATAGGAAAAGCACGATGGAGATTGGATGATTGGAGAGGAGAAAGTGATCAGGAAGAGAAGGATTATAATTTTAGATAATGGGATGACGTAGGCTTTGTGCCAGAGAGAGAAGGTTCAGGAGTCGAGAGTGAAGTCAATAATGTTGGTTATAACTTAGAGGATGTAATCCAGGATGGTAGCTATATGGATTACACGGCATCACAATCCATTACATTTTAATGGATAATTTTCAAACCAATGGTCGTTTGAAAATCGGGTCGTTGTTCCCCATTTTGTTAGGAAACATTCGCATACTGTAAGTATGGCACTTCAAAGATGCTCAAGGGAATTCGAAATTTGAGGCATTATTCCACTGCCGATGTTGAGACACTATTAAGCAGTAAGAATATAATTAAAACAAGCAGAGGAAAAAAACCGTGTGGTGGCGGATTAAGAATACGAGCGAGCTTTAATAAGCTCATAATATATCAACTAACATGCGTAGCGTGTCTGATATTTAAAAAGAGGAAACTTGAATGAAAGAGCTACACGACTCCGCCCCCTTCACGCAACCCTTGTCATTTTCCTCTTCTTGATTAGCTGCTTTTCCTGTAAATTGTCGGTTTGTGTAAAAATACCCAACTCGCCTAAAGAAGTTTTCACTTCAGAAACTTTATTGAACTTCACTTCCTTTGTTACAATTATACAATAGTAAGTATTCATTGGTATTCAAGACTTACTGCATAAAGTCTAAACCTTTCTTTTTCTCTAAATTCGTTATGATTTTATGCAGATTTTATTTAAGGACAAATCTCTGTGACATTGTTTTTTTTTTAATTTATGCTCTGTGCGAGCCGTGTGCTTTTCAAGTTTTCATTCATTTCATTCGTCATACATACAATCTTTTTTGTTGATATGATTGATGTTTTCTTTAAGAAAAGTTGTAGAAAATTATATTATATGCTGAAGATTTTACATAATATACAAATAGATAAAACTATTTAGTATATTCATAAGTATACACACTTGGGTCCGCATTTAATATAAAACTTGTGTAACTTTAGTCATGTGTAATGAAGTGTTTGCGACTACGATAGTCGACAGTTCAATAGTGTCTTTATTTGAAATATGGCTTTTTACAATGCCGGCAATATTGCAAATGTAATCAATGCAACTGATTATACGGATGAAACTAATATTACAGACGATCTCACTATAATTCCCTTAGAAAAGGATAGTTTCGGTAAGCATTGTTCGAAGATAATTCGTAAAGAATTATAGACATCAGACTAATTTGTTTACTATTTGTAGCGATATGCGAGTTGTGTGGCCGTGTTGGTCGTCGGGGGCAATTTTATACACGAAACAATAAGTTTTGTTCACTTAGATGTCACGCTAGTAGTACTAGAAGGCGTCACTGTAATTGGAGATTTAAATTAATGGAAGGTGCAGAACACATGGCGGGTATGATTCCGCTGGAACCATTGCCACAGCTGCAGCACTGGCAGGCAACACTGAATGACTTTCAGGTATAAAACTACCTTTCAATCTAAGTACTGTTACAGTGTTATCAATAATATGAGTTGAAAAACATGACATATCGGTACAATTTATATTCCTTCTTTCGAATTGAATATTAATTACGAATTAAAAATATGGTTCAAATGTATATAATTAAAGAAAAAGTAGTGATATTAAAAAAAAAATAGTTAATTGAATTTTAATTATAAGAAGAGCTAATATTCAATAGACTTAAATGCTTAAAAACCAGTTAAATACTATAAAAAAAAAGATTTGTACTATAATTTATTTAATTGAAATATTCAGTGGTAAAACTTAATGCATAAAAGTAGCACAGTATGTAATTATTTTGCTCATTCTGAATAGAACTATACTCTGCATGTAATTAAGGTTTAAAAATACCAAAGCTTCCAAAATCATAAAGGTATAGTAAAATTTGTTTACAGTGTGGATACAGGAATCATTTTGAACATACAATCAGTAAATAGATATCACTATCTATCTTTGGGACCTATATTATCTACTATCTATCTATATTTGGGACTTTGGTATTTTTTCAGAAAAAAACTTGTTAATTTTGAACGGTTTACATTCATAATATAAATATTTGCAAACTATATCAATTTACTTATACATATTACTATGTAGTTAAGAATTATTATAAAACTAGTTGGTACCCGCTGGGAATTAAAAAAGTGCTGCCTTAGTGGGTTTGATAGCTGGACCGGGCCAAATTCCAAAGCGTTTTTCTGAGAGGTAAAATAGCCTAAGTTATTCGATTATTATCGAAATCGGTCCAGCCGTTTACAAGATTACCCAGAACAAACAGATAGACAGACAAAAAAAAAATGGTTTTTAGGCATAGGTATCATGCATTTAACCGTATGAGCATTTAAAAAACCTATAATTTTGATATTACAAACAGACACCTTAATTTATTTATTTGTATAGATTATTATCATCAAATCAAAAGAATTTGGTTTCTACATAAAACTCCTTGCCCCAAATATTGCCCTATTAAATCAGTATTTCTTTCAAATCATTGTCTGTCAAAAACTTCAAATACACCTTAAAAAACATTGTTGTACATTAAGTTATATGTTAATTGTCTATCTGAAATTTTTAAAAATAAATAAAATATCACAGTCTGCATGTATGGTGTACATATTTTGTCAATCGTAAATATTTTTGAGCATATTTAATATCTTTTAGATCCTATGTAGGTAGGTATATATCCTATGTATGAAGGTAGATCTGAAAAAACTCATCTATTTTCTTTTTCTTTCTATATTAACATTTAACTTTGTAAACGTCAAAAAAGCAATATTGTGTCAATTTCCAAGAAGCAAGGTTTTAGTTTTTGTCCTGACCTTTTAGTTTTTGCCTTGACATTGTGGTTACCTTGGTGAGAGGTTTTCCCAACCATTTAGTGACCACCTCTTTGATTATTTTTGACATACATTTTTTTTAGATATACATTTTATTTCATAATGGACGCTATAACTTATTAGTATAAGTTTATTTCAATTATTTACCGTGTTCGTAATGGTTTTTGTGTGAAAAAAATATATTTCAGGCTGGCCCTATAAAGCATTCTGCAGCGTTAGTAGCTAACAGTTATGAATGGAAAGATGAACTGTTTGGATGTGATTTTCTTGGTGCACCTGTTAGTTTATTTAAACATGCTCCACTTCATGAAATGTGGGATAATACATTTGAAGGCATGAAAGTAGAAGTTAAAAATACAGATTGTGAAAACCATTCAGATAAACTTAGTGACTACTTTTGGGTAGCTACAGTATTAAAGGTGAGTGATGATGATAATAATTTTTAAGATGGTTCATTTTAACTGTGCAATGGTTCAGCAGATAGTCTGGCTCAATCAAAGTGTTACCACATGTTCACAGAAAACTGTTAAACAATTGTTTTGTTTCGTTTCATAGTTTGAGTGCGGCTACTGGGACATAAACAACCCCCATTCTTAGGGGAGGGCACAGGTGGCAGTACACTTGTGTTTCATATGTCTATTGGGCAGTCATTCAAATTGCAACTTTATTATTCTATTACTTTCAGCAATTTAATCACCAATCCTTCTGTATATTATGTTACTGGTTAAATGGGTGGGTGCTCAAGAGTAACACCCTTTTCTCTGAGTTGGTGAAAACTCACCAAGCTAAGGAATGAACCTTAGATCTTTACAAGATTGGCTAGACCATTATAAAAAATTGAATATTTGTATAGTGTAGTAATATCAAGTTTCTTCTTGTTATAATAGTCCATACACTGCATTTTACAGGTGAAAGGATATATGGGACTTTTGCGCTATGAAGGCTTTGGTAGTGATAATTCTAAAGACTTTTGGGTTAATCTTTGCTGTTCAGAAGTCCATCCTGTAGGATGGTGTGCAACACGTGGCAAGCCTTTAATACCTCCACGAAGTATTGAAGACAAGTACACAGATTGGAAAAAGTGAGTTGAAATTAATTTAACTAGTAGCAATGTTGCTCATTTTTTCATGGTGGTAACGTTTCTATTAACAAAAGCGAACACAACAGAAGGAACACGCTGAAGGACAACAGGCTGTCGTTTACATCAGGGGGAGCCAGAGCCACCTGTAGAGCTCTTGTTTTTACCTAATTCATACAATTCAACAGCACTGCTAAGAGTTGAAACAAGGATTGAAACAAACCCTATACCAACTTGTCTGGCCAGGGTGGTATAGTAGGCTAGTGGAAGAAGAGGCTAATGTCCAGCAGTAGACTATTAAGGGCTCTTGATGATGATAATGATGTTGAGGGTAGTTCAATTTCAACAAACACTGTTAGACTCGTGAGAAATGAAGGCCTAAAATTCTTGTTACTGTCGTAACTTATAACTGCCGCCGCCGCTAAAATACAGATTTAAATATGACTATCACGATTGATGCGTTACAATAGAAACATAGTAATCTATTTGTGTGATAATGTGTAATTGTAAGTACTCAAGCTCCGACTGTTGTGTAAAATAGTTCTAAATTTACATTCCAGATTCCTAGTTAAGCAGCTAACTGGTGCGCGAACTTTACCGGCTAATTTCTATAGTAAACTAAATGACAGTTTAGTATCAAGATTCTCAATAGGTTCTGTAATGGAAGTAGTTGATAAAAATAGAATTTCCCAAGTTAAGGTACGTACATACTACCATAGTTGTCTAGAGTCGTCTTTGATATTTTAATTACAGGCTGTATTATTAACTTAATTTACGACAGGGCTTCACCTAGAGGATGAGAAATTTTAAGTATGATGAGTGGTAGACTGATATAATAGGTCTTTACCTATGAAATTGCCGTTTTGTATGCAATAAGTGAAAGTACTTATTTTTTCAAACTTTTTTATTTCTGTTATTCGAAGTAATCACCCATGCAATCGACGCATCTTTGCCAACGCATTGGCAGTTTATTGATGCCCTTCTTGTAAAAATCAGCTGGAAGGGAGGCAACAAACTCTTCAAAGGCATTGTGTACTGCCTCTCGGGAATTGAATTTTTTACCCACTAAAAAGTTGTCTAAATTTTGGAAAAAGTAATAGTCCATATAGACATAATATTATTGTATTAGTTGAATGCTAGAATTCATTCTGCGTTACTTCCTATATTAGCTAAAGTTTAACATAAATTCATTTGATAGTAAAATAATATTGAGATTAACACTGCTTTTTTTAGGTAGCTACAGTATGTGAAATAATAGGCAAACGTTTACATGTAAAATATTACGATAGTGTTCCTGAAGACAATGGTTTTTGGTGTCATGAAGATTCTCCACTTATACATCCTGTTGGTTGGGCGTTTAGAATCGGTCATCCTTTAGACGCACCACAATCTTATTGCCAAAGGGTAGCTGCTGGACGGCTAGTACCAAACGATACAACGCCGGATATGTTTTATAAGTATCCAAGCAATGAACCACCTTTGTTTTCGGAAGGAATGAAGCTAGAAGCAATAGATCCGTTAAATCTTTCAGCAGTTTGTGCAGCAACTGTGATGCAAATATTGAACGAAGGCTACATGATGATAAGAATAGATTGCTATCCGGCGGACGCATCAGGGGGTGACTGGTTTTGTTATCATCAGAGATCGCCTTGTATATTCCCTGTTGGATTCGCAGCAGCCAATAACATTCCACTGGTTCCACCTGCGGGGTAAGCTACTCTTAATGTATCTTTTTTAAAGTGTAGTCAAGTTTAAGACATAAAGAAATCACTTAAACTATCACAACTGCAATGTCAGTTCTTGGTATAAGCCATTAGCATAAACTCAGCCAGATTACACGATTTTTTATCGTGTAATCTGGCTGAGTTTATGCTCACTGCCATTATCTATTCGGCTTCTAGCGGTACTCCTGCCTTCTAGTATAAAAGTCCTATTAGCGTTCCGTGGATTCACCGTGCGGGTACCGTGTCCGTCGCGTGATAGATTAAAAACCCATAACCATACTTAAAAATTTGTTTTTCCAATATAAAAAGATTTCTTAATCCAACTGGTAGTTGCAGTGATCATCGCGTTTAACCAAAGCTCTTATTTCAACATCATTATGATAATCTAACACTAATAATAGTATCCAGTACAGTAAGCATGTATATAACAAGGTATTTTTATAGGTTTACAGTAGAAGAGTTCTCTTGGGAACAATATCTGCCCGTGTGCGGGGGAATCGCCGCTGATCGAACGCTTTTCGCGGCGCGGGGACACGTGGTCTCGCATGGTTTCGTAGCAGGCATGCGGTTAGAGTGCGCAGATCTCATGGACCCAAGACTTGTGTGCGTCGCAACTGTTGCTCGAGTAGTCGCTGATTTACTCAAGGTATGTGGTTTATGTGATTGGTTGTAAGTTGGGTGTAGTCGTTTTACTTACATTATGTTTAAGTAAAAGGAAAAGCTTTAGGTATAATTAAATTATATTAATATTTGAATAGGCTAACACTATCTCTGTTCAAAATTATACAGGGTGTACGAGACGTCGTAACGAATTCTGAAATAGTGTATTCAGACCATCATTCTGAGTTTCAGTATTCGTTACGACGTCCCTTACACCCTGTATATTTGATAGGTAGAAGCTCTACTTCTTATGGAACAGTTTTTAACTGAAACAAATACATTTTATATCGATGTAATGTTAGACCATCATTCTGTGTAGGGACGTAGTTTGGAACAAACTAGAAACCTAATCAACAAGCTAAGAAAAGTCCAGCTGACAGTGTACTTGCAGTGTGATACCTAAAGTGCAGAGTGAGTTTGGTCTGGATTTAACAACATTGTATTAAGTTACTCTACAACTAGGTCAATATTGGTTATAGATGCCTGTCTTTCTGTTAAAACTTCATTAACTACTTTCAGTATAAACAATTGTTCATAACTGACCCTAATTGTCCCTCACTCTTTCTCTTCTCTCAAGCACTTTATGCACGTCGACCAATCTGATTTTATTCAGGTTATATCCAACCCAATCAGTAAAGGTTTTTTTGGTTTCTAAAGCTATTAGTTGTTAATGTTTCAAGTTTACAAATCTGAAATCTAAATCATATATTAACGAACTTTGTTAATTATATGAGTTAGGTACAGAATCAATGATCTTTTTGGGTGAAGGAACCTTCGTTACATTCAACTTAGTCTTGACCATCTTACGGGTCGAGTAATAAACGACGTCCGTCTATATTTCTCTGTCTGTATTAAGGTACACTTCGATGGTTGGGGAACCGAATACGATCAATGGTTATGGGCTCATAGTACGGATGTGTATCCCGTTGGCTGGTGCCGAGCAGTGGGACACAGGCTCGAAGGCCCATTACAACCTCCACCAAGACCGCCTCGCAAGCACCCGCCGAAGCAACCGAAACGACGAAAGAAACAAGGTAGTGGGTATCTTTATATAACGCAAAAATTGCGGTCTGATCTACTTTTATTATAGTTTTGACAGCCAAATAATAATTACCACATAGGACACTTACGAAACTGAAGTGTTTTTACAGAGCCTCCCCCCCTTTTTTTTCGTGTGCGGAAATCCCCTCGGATATCACTCACCGGGGTGATTATGTCGGACAGAGCCTCCCCCTAATGTTAAATATAAATGTATGATACCGTAAAAACGGTATGTCCACAGGGTTAAAAGGAACGGCACAACCTCCAAATACAAATGAAGAAAATTCACAAAACTCCGATATGGGGGATACAAAAAGCGACACTAAAAGCCTTTCCCCGCCGACAAGTATATCAGAGACTTCGGCTGATACGGAAGCTAAACCCGAACAAGAAGCTGATGTGGTGGAAGCTACTCCAGTCAAGATGGACGTCGACCCGGAGTCAAAAGACAGTAATGAACCATCTGAAGAACGTCTTGCAGATATCAGTGAAGATATTCCGGTGAGTGACTCCGTTGAATTCGTCTTGCAAAAATTTAAGCAAGGGTTCAATAATTTAGTGTAGGAAAGGCATCTGAAAGTTGAATCTGAAATTGTATCTTAAAAAGATAACAAGTATGTAGAAAAGACGCAAGAATTTATAAAAAATACAATTGTACGTTATGAACGGACGATTGAGAACGTAACGATATTTACTTTTTTATTACTTTCATTATTTTGAAAGTATGTATCTTGCAGGAAACTTAGAGATGTAAGACTTAAAGAATGTGAAAATTTCAGTTGCGTAGTCGGCTTGAATGTTAATAAGGATAAACATCACAATTTTTGAGTTTTGTATTACAATCCGACTTACAAACATCACATAATATTTTTAGAGTTTACCTACACCTGCCGACATATGCAATGATTCAAGTCAGAGTGTTGCACAGCTGTCTCCAGAACTACCAGAAGAAGAGGACTCGGATAAGGTGATACCCAGACTAGTCAATAACTCAGTGCCCCCAGAGGTACTTAATATAGTTGATCCAGAGAATTGGACAACTGCAGATGTAGCCAAATTCCTAACAGTTAATGATTGTCAACCATATTGTATCAACTTCATCAACATAACCGGTGCAATGATGCTACAGCTATCTAAAGACGAAATCATCGAATTATTAGAAATGAAAGTAGGACCCTCTTTGAAAATTTTTGACTTGATTCAACAGTTAAAATGTAAAATAAAACAACCACAATGTAGAATGCTTAACTTTAAGTAGCTCTTATTTTAATGGACAGTCAAAATAGATAAAAGAAAAACTACAGACATAGACAGATAACGTCACTGAGTACACTATATCGCTTTAGTTTCTTAGTAGTTATTTTATGCATTTTGTTGTTGTATTATAACCCATGCATGATACCTACGCACATAGTTACATCCATATGATCTCCAATTATTTCTATTGGTCACGCATTAGTCTAGAATTAAAGATAGTTTATTGGTACAAATCAGGATACTTGAGTTGTCTATCATCTGTGGTCTAAAACAAGGACTAATTTCTATAGAGCTGAAAGTTTCTATCGTGCAAGAATAGTTTAATACCTAATTAAACTAATTCAAGTCAAATAGTGATATCTTAAATATCGATACCAGAGAATACAGAGCCGAATTTTGAATAATACGTTTAATTTAATTGTACAAGGCTTTGCAGGTCCAGTAACACATTATTGTTCTAGTTACTCATAGTTTGAAAGTATTACGCAAATTACCAATATTATTTATTAGCAATAAGTAGGTTGCATCCAGAAATAATTGCCGTTAACAGTTGGTTAGATTTAATATAGATCTCGGCGATGAGGTGTATAAAGTTTCAGCTAGATCTAAATTTATACCTACAAATTCTCACTCCATATCTATTTAATCTGACCTAATAAGCTTCTTCTCTTCACGCATGGTAAATTATCGAATGAAATATTAAATTCAAGATATACGTGAATGTCGGGACGATAGTTTGTGAAAAGCATTATTTTGTTTGTTCATTTTGATAGCGGTGACAGCGCGTGCTTGACCACGGGTGCATTCTGCTGTTTGAGGAGCTCCTCATTATTCCAGTTAAATGTTTAAACCAAACTTTTCCCTGTGTATGGTAAGGGAACTAAAGATAGTTCGTAAACTGTGGCCTTCGACTTTATTAGGAACATTCATATATAGGATTCACTGTGTAGTGGAGCAGCTTATTTAGCCATTAAGAAATTTAAAATAAAATTGTATCATATTCTACTGCCGCCTATATTCTGGTATCGCATAATAGCTGTACGTTTTTTTTTAATAAGTATAAATTATTTTTTAAATAGATATGTTTGATTTTAGATTTGTGTGTTTAAGGCAGTCTTGTGTCTTTGCCATTGTGTTATATTTATGAGCTATCGTTTAAGGTGTGGACAAGCTTTGCAATTTATTGTATCGATGTAGCTAATGTGATTATTTTTGATGAAAGTGATTCAATAATATCAGATTAATGATGAATTAATTAAAATATGTGGTACAATCAATAACTTATCTATGTTATCTTTAATTATTATCTTTAAACAAGTGGTTTATATGATCAATGATGCCCCATTTACAATGCATATCCAGTGTAATATTCCTTAAATATAAGGCTCTTCTAATTACATTATATTTTTTTTTACTACAAAAAATGAGTTTACTTCGGCTGCTGCCCTACCTATGGTAGGTATAGTGACATAGAAAATGGTTTGCTAATACAAATATTACAGAAGTTTGCATTAATGTTACAGATGGATGCAGTACATAATTACTATTTAATAACATAAGAAGCTTTAACAACTTGTAGAGAAATTTCATACTTTACACAAAAATACTCGTAGATACTACTCGACCAAGCGTTTTAGACCAACGCGTAGAATACGGCCTCCCCGCCCGCACCTCGCTGCAGGTACCGCGATCGTCTTAGTACCGTCCGCAAGGTTGCTACCGCGTGTTTGATTTTTTTTTCTCTTAGCTTTCATTCGTATGTTGTTTTAATTCGTTAAGTTTTGTTACTTATTAAAACTTAGTATTTGTTGTGTGGAAAATGGGGAAAAATAAAACAATACATAGTGGACAGTGAGAAAAAATATTAAGAGTCCTGAATTTCAGCAGTCCTCACCCTGTCCAATGACGTATTTATATGTCATTCCCAATTTTGTATACAACACTACGCTCTGATAATGATGATTGACACTGCGCCATCTAATCCCAAACTAAGCTGACCTTGTACTGTGATTACTAGACAACGGATAAACATACTTACATATTTTTGATTTATAGATATATACTTTATTATAATACATAGAAGCACCCAGACCCGTAATAATTAAATATCTGTAGATAACTCGCATAACTAATTTTTATAAAAATATTTTCTTGTGTAACATTCTAATTCTTTATACCACATGATTATAAAGATTAGCGCTCACTTGGAACATTAGTTGAATTAAAAATAAACAAAGCGTAATACTGAATACGCGCGCTTAATGCTTTGGATAATTTTATAAAGGAAAAAATAACACCTATCGATCATTCGGATTCTTCTGCTATCCGTACCCGAAGTCAATGACGTCACGTTTGACAGTCTCCTAGTTCGCTTGGTCGAGTAGTACTATTACTTATTTCACCGCACTTTAAAAGTTGAATTGATGTTATTCTACAATGAGATCATTGTAAGGGTAACAAAAAAAATCACCATAGAAAGCGAGTATGTGAATTGAAACTTCCTAAGCCTTAATTTGATGACATTAGAACTTTCAAATCTAATGTCATGGTCGTGTCAACTATGGAGTCAGTGTGTGTCAATATTCTAATCCTGACTAACATTATGTGCGTTTCTCTGTTATTTTTTCTATCTTTATATTATGAAATATTTTATACATGTTGTCATGGGGATAAAATTCATGTCAAAATTTACAATGACTAGTGAATATACTTTATTGAAGTAAAGTCCAATTATCGTTGTTTCCTTAATAGCTGACATTCTGTTATATGTTCTTATTAACCGACTCTAAAGTTTCAAAAGGACGTTTCACAATTTGGTTGTATTTTTTTAACTCGTCATTTATAAACCGATTTGGAAAATTCTTTTTTATAGTAAATCAAATAAGAAACATACATATGTTTTTCGAATGTTTGTATATATTTTAGAACATCTAACATACAACGCCATCTAGTTTTAAACTAAGCAGAGCTTGTACTATGAGTGCTAGATTGACTGATAGAATACAAAGAACACCCAAACTCCGAAACAATAATTTACAGATGTATTGATTCTATCATTGTATTCATAGTTATCATTTATATTGATGTGTAGCGCCATTGATTGACCTGCATGCATGTGTTTGGGACTGAAATTGTGATAATTTGTGTTATGTTTGTCTATCAACATCAATGCATCGTGTTCATTCGTAATGTTAGTGTTTTAAGGTTCTTAGTTTTAGATTTAAATTAAACAAACAAAAGTCTTAATAAACCAATGATTTAAATTGTTCAAGTGTGTAAAGGCAAGCTTAAATAAAAGTGGCATTAACTATTTATTTACATACTTATTCACAAACTAATAAATACAAAGTTACAGTGAATTTCGAACAAAATGAAAAAAAAGTGTATTAGGATGGACCGTCATTATATTTTGTCAAACATAAATCATATTCATTGTTATAAAATAAATATTTATCTTCAAATGTATAAGAGAAATCTGAAGAAATGACATATATGAAAATATATTGTTCATTGACACTGCTGATGTGACTTAAACAAATAAACACTGTAATTGAAATAGCATTGCTATTGTTTTGACGGAAAGCGGCCAAAGCAACGGTTTATTTGTGTCTAACTCATTTTGAAAATAAACAGCCAGTAATATATCGTAATAAATTATTGAGCTATGACTACATAAAATTTATTATAGCACATGATTTGTAGTCAAATCAGCAAATGCATGCTACAAATTTCATCTTGTTTCCTTAGCAATGTTACAATTCAGAAAACTTGCATGGAATGTGTGGGGTAGTAAGAATTTAAATCCTGATCCTACACTTTCATCATCATCAACAGCCTATAAGAGTCCACTGCTGGACATAGGCCTCTCCTTAGAAAGGAGGTTTTGGCCTACTATACCACGCTGGCCAGACGGGTTGGTATAGGGTTTGTTTTAAGTTTTCCTTCTCTTTGCAGTGCTGTTGTCCTGCTTAGTTTGCTCCCTTAGTCGGCTCTTACGACACCCACGGGATGAATTGGGGTGGTGACAATTTGTATTCTTAATCCGTCACCACACGGACTACTACACTTTGTATTTATATAATTTAAATCATGGACTTAGAACTTAACTTACTTAAATTGTTAGAAAAGAACATCACATTTTTGCAGATGATGAATTGTTTTTTCAAAGAAATCATTATGTTATAATTGGTGTCATAGAGGAATGTCGAACAGATTTACGTGAGTGATAAATATGCCTTTGTTAGTGACTTACATATAAATCTAAATCAATTGCATCCTACGGGGATAGTATGTTGTAATAGTTTCATGTTTTGATATTAAAAGCGAAAACATGAATAAAGTATTTTTATTTTCTTTATAAACGTTGTTAGATTTTAATATCCTATACTAATATTATAAATGTGAAAGTGTGTCCGTCTTTCTGTTACCTCTTCACGCTTTAAACCGCTAAAGCGATTTAGTTTGATTCTTGATAACATAGGTTACCGCGATAACCGACATACACGCAGGCGGAGCCTCGTGCAAAAGCTAGTTCTACTAATATATTTATTTTAATTTTCCCGTAAAGGAGCCACGCTTCGGCACATATGGGCCAGGCTCACTGGAGTAATACCACGGCTTCACAGAAAACTGGTGTTAAGCAGTTCTTTCGATGCCGAGTGAGTGATATTAACGGTATCCAAACCCTCCCCTTGATTTTAGGGCAAGGGACTGAAAGGGCAGGCAATGCATTGTGACTCTTGAGTTGTCCATTGGCGACGGTAGTCACTTACCGGTGCTCCGTGTGCTCGTTTGCCCTCTATTCCATAAAAAAAAGTTGTAGTCAGTGTAATTAAAACCACTCCAGGGCAAGCATATTAAAATCAATGGAGGTATAAGGCTAAGAACTGATGAATCGGTTTTAACCCGCGTCCGCGGTGGTGGAAGCAAGCTGTTCCAGTGTAAACTCACGACCCCGACGAGAGTTTCTAGCCTAGGATGTATATTCTGTCGTTGTCTGCATCCCGTTTAGATAGAGTTGAGATGACTAGCTGCTGTTTGAAGTAAATGTAGTTCTTATTACCGTAGAAAATCTTGAAACCGTTTCATCTACATTTCGCTCACCAGTATACATCTTTGTTAGCACTCAAGTCTTGTAATATTTGACTCGTAATGGACCTGAAATAATAATCCACAAATTGATTATACAATTGTAGTTTTTGATGATTTGGAGGAATAGTAATTGGTAATGATAGTATTATTATTTGTGTTAGTGTCATTTTAAGTCGTTACTACGTCTTGTCTTTTCGTAATACTACAAGAAATAGACTGATTTGTTATTTTGTTTTATAATATACGACCAAATTATACCTTATCGTGTGTAATTGTGTTGATGAAGAATACAATGCACAGCACAACATGTTTCCGGAGCGTTGCGCATGACATTTGTGATACTCGGAACACCAATATGTTTCATTAATACAAACTTCAGAATCGTTTAAATCTGAAAAATAATAAGCTAATTATTGAAAAGAAAACCGGTTAAGTGCTAGTCGAGCTCGTGCGCCGAGGGTTCCGTAGCTACCGAGATTTTACGTAGATTTTCGCGAAAACTTGTAAGTACCAAAATTTAGCTTAACTTTCTTTTTATTTTTGGACTTGTGTTGCTGTAAGTTTTGTTTTTTTGCCAAATTTCCTAATTCTACGTCAAAGGGAACTATAAAGGTTTTTAACCCAAAACCTATGGGGTACTTCCGGTAAAAAGTAAGGTCTTACAGTACAAGTAAAGGGAAAATTCCGAAAAATAAAAAAGTTGAAAATTAAAAAAGTTTTCGTGAAAATCTAAATTTGCCCATATCTTTTTATCGTGTTTACTCAGGATCTTGATTTTGATTTGACACTTAATAGGGACTATAGACCTCAGTATCTGGTATTAATTTCAACTTGCTAGGTCCACCCGTTCCTGAGAAATTCGGTGGTTACACACGGACAAGAGTGATCTTATAAGGGTTCCTTTTTTACCTTTCGAAGTATGGAACCCTATAAAGTAAAAAAATCCACTGATCTATACAATTTTATAGGTGATTATAATTTTCAAATAACCAGTGTCACTTTCACAAGATGAAGGTCACCTCTTGGTCATATGCATTGGTCATTGGTTTTGGTCATAGACAAAGATAAATGCCATCAAAATCAATGACTACGACCTTTTAGGTTTAGTCCTTTCGCGAGTCTAGAGCTAGCATTTATCACAGGTGATTGGGATTTTATTACATCCATAATAAATAGTGTAAAATAGTAGCTTTCATTTTCAGGTGTATACCTTTTTTATTAGCGTCTTTTGGTCTCAGTTCTGATGCCAAATCTCTGGCAGACGTAACATAGAATGTTCGCAGTATATCCATTCGGTGTGCTCCAGACATTCCACGGCCCTTTGAATTCGACGCGTGTAGGTGACGGGAAAATACAGCTCTCCTCTTATTGATATTCACTATAAGTATTCTGAAAAATATTTAAATATTTAATATTTATTTACCTATAAATAAATACCATAAAATATTTATAGGTCAGTTTTTAAAAGGATATTATATTATAGTACCTAAGTATTAAATAGAAGTTCACCATAGCATCACTGACGTGTAATGTCACTGCTTCACTCCTAAGGCTCTTAGCGTGATGTTGAATAACCTAACCTTCCGCAAAGATTTCGCAATCAAATGTAAAAATATTTCTTCAAATCCGTGTTATAACAGTTCCTAAACTTACTGATACCAAAAAAAATACAAATTGGCGATTTATAAAATGTGATGGAGTTTTTAAGAGAAAAGTATGGAGATTCGTCATTTAAACATTTTAAAGATCTACAATCAGTTGAGCTTTATTTTTGTTTACTTACCATTATTTTGAGTAATATAAGCAAAATATAAAGAAAAACTCTTTTCAACTTATGGGGTAGAGCCTTTTTTTCTAAAAAAAAAACCGGACGGCAAAAGTGCGAGTCGGACTCGCCCACCGAGGTTCCCATACAGTAGGTACATATTATGAATAGTTCAGGAATCGAATCTCGTGGTTTTTCCTAAATAATATATATATAAAATATAATAATAATTACTAACATTATTGTTTTGTGAGTGAATTTGTACCTCGTGACTTGACTATGTTTTTTGTCATTTCATTGCAAATGTATAGTTTTCAGATTTTGCCCTGTACTTGTAGTATCAGACGGTGTTACTAGCCAAATTTCATAGTTGTAGCTCAACGGTAAATACCCTATTAATTATGAATCCCTTGCGAGTGACGAAATATGCGTTTTTTTAAACAGCCGCATCATTTTTTACGTTTACTTGAAGTTTGATTTTTTTTACAGCTTCAAGGGACTGTAGACCTGAGTATATGGTTTTAATTTCAATTCGATACTTCCTGCATCTAACTAAGATCTTGGCACAGTTCCTCTTTACAACATTATTCCGTGTGAACATATTTTTCACCTTCTAACATCATCAAGCATTGTAAACTTTCTTAAGTTGTGGTATAAGAATAACGGCACAATATGTTACATACCCCAAGACACAAGGTTCAAATGAAAGACTTGTAGGGAAATTTCGTGGGTGTGCAAGTTTAGCCTCTTTGATTGTTTGTGCATATCCTTCCCAGCATTGCAGGACTATTTCATCTATTTGAGATAACGCTGGCGTCGCTCCACACACCACTAAGATGTATACATCAGCAAGAAGTTTACACGTAACTGCTCTGAATGCAACCTAAAGAATATTAAAATTAATAAATTAAAAAAAAAGGGTTTTGTTCAAGTTTGTTTATATTTAAATTTATTGAGGTTTAAAACGGTGCAAATGTTTGTTTTTGGATTTGGTGCAGCATGATTTCTCTTAACACAGTCCATCCAGGTTCTTTTCGGTCGTCACCTCTTGGAACATCCCTCCGCAATATTAGTCGCCATGCCACGATAGTTTATTGCGAGGACTTTTCATCTCTAATTTATTCATATATCCCCTTGGCCATTGTGCCTTTTACATACGATCACACCATTTCTTTCCCCATAAATTTGTAGGCAGGAGCCGGATATACTTAAAAGCGCTCAGTGACTTCCAGCGAAATTGTTGTACGATACCGCCAAAAATGATGACCGCATGTAGTAGAGTTAACTATTTATTACAATTGAGAGGTTTAACAACAATACTTGCGTACATTAGGGCTCATTTGTGGTAAATATACAGGAGTATCTCGTAATGGTGCTCCATCCTGAGCAGCTGCAAGTAGCATCAAAAGTCTCGCCTCTCTGGGATCCAGTTCACAAAAATCAGAACTTGTTGCAACCAAGTGTCCTTGAATGATGAGGCATGCCCATCGACCTGTCACACTTGCTGCATAATGATCTAATGCTTGCTAAAATTTATAACTTAAAATGAAATTATAATACATTTTAATCAGAAAGTACCTACAATCATTATTATGCAATCTTGACTGTAGTTTCTATAACTTTTCTCTACAACTTTGAAAACAAATGTTACGAAACTAAGTTATGGTATTTTTAAAGAGGTGTATAATTAATAATTATATAAATGTATATGTTCAATTTGGTTGAAAGATTCTGCTATGCATTAATTCCTATACATGTAAATAATAAAATATCATAGAATGCAAAACTTAATAAGGTAAGTTTATGATTAAGTTAGGGTTGCATTGAGATGCATATTGATTAACAAATAACCTAATTTAACATCTTCAGATTAAAATTTTGAACTGTAGTAAGCTTATAGTGTTTGTCAAATAGGTATGTAATGTTAAGATTTGAATTTAGATGTCAGTAATGGATATTTTTAATATTACTGGCGATTTAATATTATTATTTGCCTACAATTTATCCAATAAACTGCAAACTGGAACTAAATAAGTAAATCAATGTTAATTGTTATATTGTATAGTAAGTGTATTTTTTTGGCATTTCAATTACATACCTGTAATTGTTGAGCTTGCGGACACAATATACTCTGCATTAAATCCAAAACTAATGTTGGGAGTGGGCATGATAAAGCGTTAGGGTCTAATGACTCCAATAAATAGTCCAATATAGGGTAACATTGTCTTAAGTCTCTCTTTACTTGATCAATGTTTTTCAGATTCTCAAGCTCCTTTTTTCCTATGTAGAATATAATAGCATCATGAACACAGGAAAGAAGAAGTTCTAAGTCACATTGTAATCCTCCAGTTGCAATTCCAATCAGTGTAACACTGAAATAAAATACATAATTAAGTGTGAATATATTTATTCTATTCACAATTCATTCTATAATTTTAATGAAAAATAAATTATAGAATTATTGTATTATTGTTCAGATTAAAAGAGATAGTAATTTAATAAATTTATTAATACATCATATTATGCGATATTCAAGATTTTATTTAGATACCTGTTTACAGTTTAAACTACAGTAGGCTTAGAGTGTATGGTGATGGAGTAAGAATACAGAGTCTCACCACCCCTATTCATCTGGTAGATTTCATAAGAGCCGACTAAGGGAGCAAACTATGCAGGACAACAACACTGCAAAGAGAAGGAGAACTTGGAAGAAAATCTATATCAACCTGTCAACCCGTAGTATAGTAGGGCAAAACCTCCTTTCTAAGAAGAGGCCTATGTTCAGCAGTGGTAAGGTTGTTAATAAGGCTTATGAGCATAAGAGGGTAAAGATCATCAAAGATCTTTTAAATCTTTTAACTTACTAACTGTTAATAAAATTAATACTTGTCGGCGCATAATGCTTATACATAAAAAAATTACCAACCTTTTACAGTATTCTTTCCAAAGTATACAACCATTATCTACAGATGTGTCAATCATAGACAGATTGTGACATTTACTAAACATGTTGATGCCATGTAAAGATGCTATTGTTGAAAATTGTATCTAAAATAAGTAAATAATTCCTTTTTTGAATTGAAAATCATACAAATATTAAAGTAAAAAGTCTTAAAGTTGGCGATGTTGTTGTCTACGAGTTGAATAACAATGTTAACTTTTGTGTAATGCATTCTTGTTACTATTTTTCTATGAACAACTTGATGAGTTATACAGGGTCATACTTTTCTACAAGTATAGGTTAACATAAAATCGTAGGATAATAAATAATCCATTCTGAAAAAAAACATTTTTGATTAATTTATTCGACATAATTCTTTCAAGAAAGCTTACATTTTCACTATTGCCACGTTTTCTAGAGAAAATTGGGACACCACTCTCTGTAGCAACTGCGATTACAATAACAGACATATTCAATTAAATTGAAACTTTAAAATATTTTGGAGAAAAGTTTACTTTATAAGTGGAGCGGATGGGGGGGGGGGGGGTTAAAGTTGATCGAAATCCTTGAACTTAAACTGTCATCGAAGACATTGACATTGCAGTGTTGCCAGGTGTGACAGTAATTTAAGAAAAACAGGTATAAATTAGGGTAGACCTGGCTTTACCACAGCATTTGAGATTAATCACATATATAATAAATATTCACAAATCAATTCTGAAAAAGAGGTACACAGTGGTCTACTTAAGAATGTTTTTTTTTAATGATGAGATTTACACATAAATAAATACATACATAAAATAAATATAAATATATAATATAGATAAAATTACACTTGTATTATTTTGAAATTGCTATTTATTTTTTGAAATATGAGTTTATTGCACTAACCTAGCACAGACCTTATGCTATAATATTTACAGGTAAACTACCTGTTTACTTGTATGTACTAACAGTACGTTGCGTTTTTTACAGACAGCTCCTTTCAAGCAGAGATCGGAAACGAAAATCGATAATGCGTTACCTTTGACATACATGATATAATGATACCGATTTATTTAGAAAAATGAAAGAATAATTTTTTCACGCCTGTCGTAGATCTCTAGCGATTCGTGGGCGGCTGGACAGGGCGCCTGTGCCATGGTGTCAAACAGCAGGAGCGCGGTGTCCTTATTGCGGTGGCAAGTAAGGGTCGTATGATCTTCCCGCTACACTTTAATGGAGTATTATATTTCTATGCAAAAAAAAAAACAGCCCAGTCCCGTTGGTGTTTCAGTATTATTCTTTTATTAAATATATAATATTATCATAACTACATAAAGTAAGATCTGCCATCTAATTACTACATTATATGTGGGTAACACTGCCTCCATTTTCTGGCTCGTCAGTTTGCTTTGTATTAGCTGAAAAAGTGATTTTAAGAATTAAATAAATCGAGATTAGATATCAGATTTCTAGAATGCTTATTATACTTACAATCGGATTTCGCAAGGAGTCTTGGTCCTGTTATAGCTATCATTAATGCTCCTAATGGAGCTGATATGACTACGCTGAGTACACTTATTGTCAAAAGTGCTTTGGCGTAAGATTCTTCCAATTCTCGGGCAATTCCGGTCGTTTGACCATTGCGTACCATATCTAAAGCAGCTGGCCCTAATGCCGCCTAAAATACCAACAATTCCTAAACATTAATAAGGTATATTTCGGCTACTCTAATTTTTTTTACAAGAACGTAACATTGAGAAAAAAAATCTAGTAATATGATAATGTAATATACCTGTACTGTAGCCTTTGCCATCCACGTAAGACCAATAAAGAGTTTTTCCTTACTGTTGAGACCGCAACCGAAGCTAACGAAATAAGTAGCAACGGCACGAAGGGCTAAACACGATAAAAGACAAATGGCTCCCATTTTTAAAACCTCAGGGTCTAAAGCACTTATCTGTAAAATTTACGAGGGACGTATTAGTTATTTTAGTCCCAGAATTGAGATTGGTCGTGAAAACCAACTGGATATATGGTAGTATGGTTTTATATAAGATGTAAGATTTAGGCAAGTACCTCAAAGGCCAACAAGGCGTTAGTAACTTATGAGTTACAGGTGTTCATGGGCGGTGGTAGCCGTCTGCTCGTTGGCTGCCTTTTTAAAAAACGACTTTTTTGTAGAAAATTAGTGGCAAAAAAACCTGAAAACGGTTTACCGGTAGTTTTTTTATTTTTGGCTTCTATAAGTACCTACAAACTATCCGTATCGAGTTTTTAGTATGATAAAAAAAAAAAAAAAAAATAGAGTACCACTAGGGCGCAGTAAATCGAGCTTTCGAAAAAACATTCAGAGAAAAGTTGCAACATCTCAAACGGGGTTATACTTAAACATTCATCATTATTAACAGCATTAATTAAAATTGTTATCTCCTCAGCGTTTCAAGTTTTCCTTCCCTTTGCAGTGCTGTTGTCCTGCTTAGTTTGCTCCCTTAGTCGGCTCTTACGACACCCACGGGATGAATAGGGGTAGTGACACTCCGTAGGTATTCTTAATCTTATGGATACTGAACCATTACTATAACCTTTATACAGGAAAAGATCTCTACCGTAACTTGTGCTCCAGTAAATGCAAACAATATAGGCTCGAAGAAAATCCACAAAATTCGGAAGATGTTGCTCACTGGATTATTATTTATTGGCCAGCCTTGCTGTTCCCAAAAGAATGCAGCTACAAATCCTGATGATACGATAGCTAGAGGTCCTGAAAATAATTATTTCATTTCTAGATTTTTTTGCGTCAGTTTTAATATATAATTCAATAACACAGATAATAATAGAATTCTTCTTTAAATCTATGTCGTTCGATTTTCGCGAAAATTTGTAAGTACCAAAATTTATCTTAATTTTCAACTTTTTTTATTTTTTGGAATTATGCCTTTATTTGTGCTGTAAGACGTTTCTTTTTGCCAAATTTCGTGATTCTAGGTCAACGGGAACTACCATATAGGTTTTCGACCCAAAACCTAGTACTTCCGGTTGCCCTGGAATTGTCAATTTTGTTTAAAAGCAAGGTCTTATAGCACAAATAAAGAGAAAATTCTGTAAAATAAAAAAGTTGAAAGTTAAGGTAAATTTTGGTACTTACAAGTTCTTTTTATCGTGTTGACTCAGGACCTTGATTTTTATATACCTAATAGGGATCATAGACCTCAGTATCTGGTATAAATTTCAACTTGCTAGGTCTACTCGTTCCTGAGAAAATCGGTGGTGACACACGGACAGACGACAGACGGACAAGAAAGATCTGATCTGATCTTATAAGAGTTCCTTTTTTACCTTTTGAGGTACGGAACCCTAATTAACTTTCCTTAAGTTTCTGTTGCATGCAAAGTCTTACTACTATGTATTTTCTTGTTACGATATGACTTTTTAGCCGCCATTATGTTTAGAGTTTCTCAAAGTATATAATAGTTACTTTTCAAGTAAAGCAAGAAAATTTATTATTTTGGAGGTATTATTTGTCACCTTACTTGTTTAAAAATAAAAAGTGCTATTCAGTATGCTTTCAATATTTTACAACCCATATTACAAGTCCTGCTTAGTTTTGGACTAGACAGCGATTTGAAATATGTCCCAGGATATTATCACACTAATTGTTACCTGTACCGCTCCATCCAATCATGCTTGATATGAAATATGAAAATAGTCCGCCAAGAAATAAGGCCAGGAACCGTAAAGGTACTACATAAGTATCTCCTTTCTCAGGTAGCAAGGCAATGAAAGCCCCCCACAGTGATCCGAGAAGTATTCCGACGATGATTGATAGAGGACCCTGAAAGCAGTATATTTTATTGAAATGTTTATTTTATTTGGTTCAATTTTGGAGAAGCGTTTAAGGGGCAGTCAGGTAATCTGATTTTAAATTATTTTATGTCTACTGGTGTGTCCAGTGGCTATATTACTGGGCTCAGTTCAACAACATCAATGACGCCGTTGCCACGAGAACTGCATTTCTCCGTCTTTAACTTTAGGCATTGTTTCCGAACAATAGAACGTTTTTGCGAAACAACGTGAGATCTAGAAAGATACACGTCATCGCGGCGAAATTATCTCTTACAAACTAGCAATGTGTATGTTTGCCAACTCAATTATAAAAATAAACGTATATTTTCATTACTCGTAAGGTCATAAGCGGACGTATTCTGTTTACCTTAATTATATTAAATGTCGCCGAACCCGTTGAGAACATAGCGTTTAAAATAATAGCGAATATAGCAACACTAATGGAGTCATCTATTGCAGCTGCAGCAAGAACAATTGTTGGGATACCCTTGGCAACTCCGTAGCCAACATCACGAAGCTTGAACAAACAGGGGACAACGACTGCTGGTGAAACCGAGGCTATCATTGAGCCAAGGAGGAATCCTGAAGCAGATTATATAATATCAAGCATCTTCACGTTATGAATTATAAGAGAGATAGTAGATAGATATATATAGAGAGAGAGATAGACATGGATGTACTCAGTTTCTGTGCAAAGGCAGGATAGGTAAAAATTAAAAAAACCCGATCTCAGAGAACGGGAGGACGCTTTAGAAGGACGCTCTACACTTCTGAAGGCCTGTGGACATTGTCCAGTAAAGACTATTCTAATCTAATCTAAATCTAAGAGATTTTTAAGTTGTTTCTTTTTTTTTCTTTTATTGTGGAAATTAATTATGATACCAGAAACCCGTAGGGTCGGCAAAGATAACTCCCATTTGATGAGTCTGCTATTTTGAAATGAATACTAAAGAGGTACAGTGAAATTAGTCTCGAGAAATTTTTGCATATGTAGTGGTGTGTATATTACTCAGATCTTAGAGCGCGTTTCCACTATATCGTTCTGGCCTATACAAAAATGTTTCGATATCCTAACATTACTATTTAATTTTATACTTATCCCTAGCAACACTCTGATTTTTGTTTTCAATAAAAACAAGTTTTTATTTTAAAGAAAAAGGTTTTGACTTTATAAAAAAAAAGGTGTGTGTGCGATTTACACACGATAGAAGTGAAACTTCAAAGAGAGACCGATATTTAAATTTTTTTTTTTTTTTCCTTTCATCTAGGTTTTTAAAACTCCGGGGGTTTACGGGGGGGTCAAAATTTTTGTTATTTTTGGCCTAGGACGCACCGTTTCCGAGATATTTCAATCTAAAGCAAAAAATCGTCACTTGATAGTGGAAAGTGGAAACACGCACAAAACCAGAATAAACTAGTTTACGCTACCATACACTATACACTACTACAAACGCAAAAATTTCTCCAAGCTAATTTACCTGTATGTCAAAAGTTCATTAAAAATAGAAGGTACCTACTTATTTACCTATAGTTATTTCTAATTCATGCGGTATTCTAAATAATATGTGTAACATTGAACAAATAAAAATTATATCAATGTTCAAAGCCTGAGATACAGGCTAATGTTTTATTTTGTAAATCAGTAATAGTATGATTTCTCGAGATGTATCTATATGACACTCATGACAAAACTTACCCCAAATCCATGGCAAGTACAGAAGGTAGTGAGTACTAACGGCTATTAGTATACATTCTACGAGCCACGGTAATAGACCGAGTTGTAGGACGGCTGCGTAGTGCTTTTTTAAAACCCCAGCATTGAGTCCAAGGCCAGCTCGAGTTAAAATGATAACTAATGCTACTTTCCTGCAATTAAAGTTGTGATAACTAATAGATTGCGTATTATAGGTCTTGTTCGTAAGCCAGAGGTATCGTAAGCCTGTAAAACCAGAACTAAGAATTTTGAAGTATGAACACAGCTCTGGAATACCCAAATGTTTGACTGGAAGAAAATGCCTAGGGCATTAAGTCCGCCTTACGCAATATATCTGCAGAAAATATAAATAAATATGTGTCGCGTATGTGTCGCGTCGTTCTTAATCTACTTGAGGCATTTCAAACGCTAGAAATGGTGTAAATTACAGTTTCAGAAGCTTCTTTACAGTTATTGTAAGTATTCATAATGATCTATTTTTATAATAATATATTTCAAGTACATATTTTAAAGTGTGTGACATCTTACCTTAAATCTTGGTTGAGTTTTTTATACTCGTCTGTCATGTGGACTAGTTTTAAATTCTGGAACAGTATTCCTGTAAGTAACATGCCTATGAGCGCAGGCAGTGTGGTAACTTTGAGCCAAATCCACCCAACTAAGTAAGCGGCTATGACTAGAAGTGTCATACTAAGTAGTTCTCCTTGTAAGCCGATTGCCTCTTCAAGTTCTGCATACAGGATACCCCATACGAGAAAAACTAAAAAATGTTAGGATTATTTTATTACGATTGTATATTTTTTTTGGGTTGGGAAATTATATTTACTAGGTTTATTTGGAGATATATGCCTCTTATAATAAAATCAATATGACTCAAGGATAGAAGTCAATTAATGGTCTACTTCAATTTTTTTTTATGGCGAAGGATAATAATATTACACAACACATCATATGACATCTCATCTACCTTTTGACGGCCAACTCTAGAAGTGCATTCGCTCATTAGTCCCCCGCTAACCCCGGCTATATGTTGCTCATTATACTTCCAACTCTTTTCACGAAATCACTTCCACAGATTTCAGGAAAGCAAAAGGGAAAGATGTTACACGCCAAAAACCAAACTTATAAAACGCATGACATTCGTCCTAACATTACATAGCATAACATTGAATGGAATACCTACAGAATATAATGATGCAAATTTGTTGCGCTGACTGTCTGTACGTTGGAAACACTGGATACGGGAAATATTTTGACCACCACGACGGCTGCCATGAAGGTGATGAATCCTCTTGATGACATCGTAAGCAAAAAGTTTCCCACCAACTACAGTTTTTCGAAAATATAGATTTGTTAAGAAAAGTAAAAATTATAGAAGTATTTAGATAGCGTATAAAATCCTTTTTCAAAGGTTTAGCCGCAAAGTCTAAGTCGCAAAATGTCCAGTTCGTAGAATGTCCATTCCGCCTAATGCCATATTCAGCCGGCAGAATATAATAGGCTAGAATTGTAGTAGTTGAATGAAAAGTTCCACTAGCTTACAGAAACTGAAATGGTAGGTTAGGTTTTTAATGCGACCAAAAACGCTAGAACCAAACTGTATGTGTTTTAGTGTAAACGAGTTTTTCATTTTGATGGGTGAATTTATTTAAGGTGACATGCCATAAGACCAAAATAAAACTTGACTACTAATTAAAACCTATCGTGATAACGTAATGATGAATATTGGATTGGACATTCCGCGAACTGGGAATTCTGCGAAGTGGACACTTCGCGACCCCTGGACATTTTGCGAGTTGGACATTCTCCACCTAAATGTTTTTATAGTGCTTTCATTCAAAATTTATTTTGTTTCCATTTTCACGTAAATTGATAAACGCTATGACAATGTCTATTAATGCACAAATTATTGTTATTTTTCTTAGTCTAAAATCAGTACATTTTACTAAAAAATAGTCGGCAGTGTAATATGTGTGTATGGGATATCTACGAATTTAAAATATGAACATTTCTATTTTTTTTTAAATATTTTGTAGGTAATAAATAAAAGAAAAAGATACCTGTTGTGTTGAACGGCGCGTTCATTCTCATCATTATCGTCTGCAAAAGGGTAAAGATATTATTCATTATACTTCCATGATTTATAAGCTACAAATTTCCAAAAACCATCAAGCAAAATGCAGTGAAACAAGGAGAGTTTTAGTGAAAATACGACAATTTTAAGAAAAACATAAATATGGTGTAAGCAAAAGCAACAAAGAGTGAGTGCATACCGCCCTTTTGCAAAATTAAAATTTATTTAAGAAGCGCGACAAGCGCTTCTTGGTGCGATTAAATCGAGATAGGAACGCTGTCTGTCTGTACTTTTAATATAATAATTTAAAGCATAAAATTTTCGTTCATTTGTACTTGAGAGGCGAAAGAAAATGCCAACATCTATGGTAATGGTACATTGGTACCTATAGTCCTGTTTTGGTCAAAATTACGATTTCAGCGACCAAAGAAAACCTATACTGCGGGGATGACATGAAGTTAAAAAAAAGAGTATATACACAACAAATGAAATTAAAATTATGCCAAACAAGGTTTAAAAATCATAAAAAGAAAAAAAAACCTAATTTCATGTTTTGTGTAAATAATTAGTTTACATAAAAACATCATAATTGAACAGTTCAGTAAATTCTAAGTCAACCCTAGGCATTCAGGTCAATAACGTCAAGAGATGTGAACCCTTTAAAACTAAACAAAACCATAGAACACCATAATCGTTAACAAATTAAATTTAATTACCACCGAACGTATAGACACGTACACCTATAAAACACAAATGATTACAAATGAGTAGGTGCAACAAAAATGTTACCAAAAAAACAAAAAACAATAACAATATCATATGAGTACCTTTTGTATTTTGTTCTTGTTCCATTTCTAAATCTAAGTAGCCGTGCCGCTTAACTAAAAACATTGATAATTATTATAATTTTTGTGTTGGAATTAGAAAAACAAATAAATTATACTCGTAATTGATTTATAAAATGCTAAACAATGACAATTAACAGCGCCTAACGATAGGTTTAATACAAACATGTCTGCTTCAGCAAAGTTTGACATCACGGCAGTCATATCGACAGGTGTTAATTATCATTGCTACCTTTATTAGATATTCGATAAATGTGAGTGAGTTCCTTTACACGATAAGGCTACTGAATGAGTAAAAATAAACCAGTGTGAGTAGGTTGTTTCATTACGATATTTTTTTCATCAAATTAATGCCATTTTATAAGTAGGTAGCTATACTATACTATAGGTAGGTAGGTTGTGATTATTATGTTAGTAATCTGAATCAATGTGAGCTGTCAGATTCTGTTAATATTCAATAACAATAATTAAAAAAAAAAAAAATATTATATTCAAAACTGCCTTTCTAAGGAGAGGCCTATGTCTAGCAGTGGACTATGAAAGGCTGTTGATGTGATACAAAACTGCTTGTTTGCAAGCTGCATTCGCGCCTCTATCTTTTTTACGTCTATTTCCTTAGTTGATACCATCACTTGCAAATTACAAATCAATATCTATACAAATAAATAAAATTGAAGTGTCTCTTTGCAGTGTTTAAATAATAACTTTTTTTCATGTTCACACGGCTATTTGCACGATACCTATGCCTAAAAACCAGTTTAAATATTTTTTGTCTGTCTGTCTGTTTGTTCCTGGTAATCTACCAAATGGCGGGACCGATTTTGATAATATTTTACAACCCGGTAGCTATCTATATAAGGAGTAACTTTGCTCGGTTACGGAATCGAACCCACACACATCGATCACCAGTTAGTTTTAAATAAAATGACACCCAGACACAACAAATGATAGTGCTCACTACATAATTATTTTTCCTGTGCTGGGAAGCGGACCCACGGCCTCTAGATTAGCAGTCAGGAACACGAACCGTTAGAATAACATACCCGTCTAAATGGATTTATGAGTTATGTGATTTGCTACGTGAATTTTAATATTAGAGGTTTGTCAATTTTATGGATAATTTGAGAGGCCGCCTGGTGGTTAGCAACTATCTCAGCCAGTAGCCTATATGAGCAGCACGGTACATCGAAGCCTCAAAGACCTTGCTCTGCAGGAAAATTGACTAAGATTGTGGGCTTCATTCGCGTGGAGGTATTAGACCAATCGAGCAGCCAGGTATACATAGGTATGCCCGTAGACGGTGCATACATTGCGCCTAAGTATTTTAGTAATATATATAGTTATAACATTTGTCTGTGCCTGCACGTACAGCATAAAATAAGATAAACTGAAATAAAAAAGAACAAATGATAATTTCATACGTGCCAATTTGACGTCAGTAACTTTTATTTTTAAATTTTTTACGATTTTCATCGTTTGCCAGACACGAAAAGCGTTTGCCAGATTAAATAATTTGCTTTCGAAATTAAATTTCATTTTTCAATATACTAGGCAGAATGTGGTAGCATCTACTATTATGTATTTTTTGTCTGAGAGTTTTAAGTATGATAAACGAAAAATAATCGTGGAAGTAATCCGTATAAGTCAAAATAAATCTATTTCAATTTTGTTCGTATACAAAGGTATAACATGTTCAATGAAATTGTGTAGCTATTTAAAATTTTACGAACATTATATTGCAAATTACAGTTTGAATGGGCAAGGCATTAAAACAGACGTAGTGCGAGTGATTAATTGATAAAAAAACTTACCACAATTCGACACTAATTACAAGAGTTTTAATCACTTAAACTAAGGTTATTGAGATGTTACAAATCATATCCAAATAATAGATCACAATGAACAGGCTGACTAAAACAATATTTTTGTTAAGTTAACAAATCATAAAATTTTAAAAGTGCGTGTGACTCGTTTCATTTTTGTTATCATACTGATACTGACTAGAGTTTAGTTTATTCAGCAAAGATTTAAGTAGGAAGGCCGGTTGAAGTCAAAAGTCAACAAGATAAATTAATATGTAGGTACACATCACACTCACAACATTATTTGTAAAATCTATTTGCACTGGTAACACTGCTAAATACACAGATTAGGTTAGAGAAATGTTATCTGTGTTTATTTAGGCAAAGATAAAACCATTCAGTATCTTTTCGTTAGTTTGTTGGACGATTTTTTTAAATAGGAATTATGAAAAAAAACAAGCTTGTTTTTTTGTTTTTACGAGTTATTGCAGCAAGTTTGCCAACACTAAATAATACCTTTATTTTTATAGGTCTTCTATGAACTGTGTAGTACTGTATGTTATTTCATAAAATGTTGTAGACTTAGACTGTTGGCGTGTCTATAATAAACAAATAAATAAACAGTGACTCATAGTCACACGATATGAAGCAATTGTAATAAAATATGTTGTTATTTCTGTATGTATGTTACTTCTCGTATGTTCTTAGAACACGCGGATAGCATTTTGAGCTCAATTATCTTATCTTCTGTCTGGATATCTTAGGAGATCACTTAATATCTTTAGATGTCGGTAGGGATCATATATTACTGAAATCACTATACAAACAATATTATAATGCATATACATTCCAAGTGTGAACTTGGGACAGTTTAATTCGTTAAGTGTTTGTTGGCGTGCATAATTATACGTTTTGCAGTTCTGAACTTAACTGGTTACACATAATAATGTAATACTTAATAATAACCTTACACATTACACTCAAACTATCCTGAGACTGTACCATGGAAACCAGAAAGCTGATAAACATACTGCCACAAAGAAAATCATGCACATTCCAGAAAGTTCGCGTTCGTTAATCGCGTAATTCTAGGAAACGTTTAATAATAATACAGGTTTTCACGGGACAATATGCTCTATAACAATACGCATAAAATCTAAAATAGATTAACGCTATTAATATAATACGCGATTATCTTGTTTACATTCGAAACGAATTTGTAATTTTCAGAATCGGGCGTTTCTCGTGGGGATTAGAATTTGCTAGAATGATCTTTTACGAGTATTATAAATACGGACACGTCTTCTTTGAAGTTAGTTCAGTTCGAGATAGAGTGCAATAAACATCGAAGCGATTGAAGTGAATAGAACTGTGACACAGTAACCTCGGCGGTCATTCCGGACTATTATTGAGTGCTGTTGAACGTTTTTAAGTGTAGTGATAATAAAGTCACTTTAGTCGTCAGAAGGCTTATTAATCTGAATCCGAACCCTAACACGTAACAATACTTATACATATATGTATTTCTAAATACATACATATCATGGATAAATAACATTCATACACAGAAGAAATCGTGTTCATTACACAATATTTGTACTGGGTGGGAATCATCACCTCTAGACCAACGGGTCCGTCAAAAGTTAACACAACATACGAGTTTTAATTTTTCAATAGCCCTCCCTCAATACTATGGCATTAAGTCCGCCTTTGTCACATTTGTGCATAAAGTGTAAATAAATAAATAATAGGGTTCCGTATGTACACCAAGAAACCGGCAACTTGTAATTACAACAGACTACTCGCCCCGCTTACCCACTATGTAGAATCTTTTAGTCTGTGGTGTGCCTACGTGGGCTACTCGTGGTGAGCTTTACCGTGTAGTGGTCTTATTTATTATATGTATGTATACAACTTATAACACATATATATAATATATTTTTAAATAATCTAAGCGACAAGTACTAGGGTTGTGCAGGTCTGATGGCAGTTGCTCCGCTTAAATATGTAACGCTTATGTATTTACATATAAATATTATGTCATTTAAATAATCTAAGAATAGACTGTAAAATAATAAATAACAGGTCTAACTAACTTACTCGTCTACGTCTGTGGTATCAAAATTTAACAATGGCAATGACCTTTGAGAATATAAACAAACCTCATGCAAATGATAAACATAACCTCTAATTAGAAGCATTAAGCATTCTTCGTCGAAAGGAATTTTGGATGTTTATTATTTATTATTACCTAGCATTTTAAGTGAAAATCTTTGAAGGTAAAAATCTGGAGAAAGTAATGAAATATAAAATTAATTGTACATACCTAATGTCAAACCAACCTCACTGATCGAATTTATTTAATTTATAAGTAAGCATAGAAACAGATATTAAATATACAATTACATACTAATTCTTTTGGTATTGTGCTGTATAATAATTCTATAATGGAACTAATATAAACAGTACCTACGTAAACGTAACAAACTGTCGTGAACTCGTGTTATTCAACAAGTGCTTTTTTTGTTTGGTTTTTGTTTGAAAAATTTCGCCACTGAGTCGCTAGATGTCTCTATAACTAATAAATTTACTATAGTTCAAATAAGCAGCATTGTTTGTTTGATTGTTTTACTTGCGCAGTAAATTTGGATATGCATTTATTTTTATTTATTTTATTTTACATCTTCATGCACTTATGTACATCGGCGGACTTAATGCCCTGGGAATTCTCTACCAGCCAACCTTTAGGTGGTGTAGAAATCTTGCACCGAGGTTACGATTGTAATCAATTTACTGGTGCTAATTCTGTTGTTCGAAAATTCTCTAAACTAAACTAAAAATCAGTCAATCACTAAACAAATAGTCCTGTCAAATACTACATTTCAGAATAGGAAACGTTGTTTGACAGGACTAAACTAATTTTTAGTTTAATTTAGAGAGTTTTCGAACAACAAAATCAGCACTAATGTCGTTTTTAACTGTGAATTGAATAGGTATTTTAAAAATATAAAGAAATCGTACAATAGGGATCTAATACACACTATAACACACACACATAGACGGTTAGTTTTTTTCTGGTTGAAAGACAATATCTCCTATAATATATTTTCTTGCGCTCGAGCTTCCTAGGGTGGGAGGAGAGAGTCTAAACCCTCTCCTCTCTCCCACTGTTTTTTGATCGGAGGAAGTAGTACTGCTATTACTGTTGCAAGCAACATAAACGACAAACAATGTAATTAAATGA